CCCATGAATTAATGGATTAATGCACCTTCACAGAGGCATCTCTTGGGCCCCTCTTCCTCCAGGCAAACGAGGTCACCTGCAGATCTCCCTGGCTGCACCACCAAGCCAAAGTCCTGCCTTCTCCCAGTAAAATGAGCAAATAAGGATGAATTAATAAAACACCAAGGCACACTGTACTGTACACAGCATTGTTCCACCACTTGTGTTTACCTTCGTGTTCAACACACACAGTAAAGCTTGGGCTTAGATTAGAAAAAGCAACATCAACGTCTTCTTAAAAGCATTTACGGTCATGCCTTTATTTCCTTACTACCACACAGGCGAGCTGGACTCCCAGGGTGACACCTGCCCATCCAAAAGCTGTCCCTCTGTGCCTTGCTGGGGAAGCTGCTCCCCTTTCCCCTGCACTGCCCCTTTTCAAGCTGCAATCCAAGCCTTGCTGGTGATGGAGTGGAAGCTGCCACATGTTTTAGCTTTCCTAATTGTCCCCTACGGTCTACTAAGTGTAATTACCAAATAATGTCTGTGAACACGACTGTGTCCTTGGCAATTAGGGCCACCAGCCCCCGGTGTCTCCTGCTGCAGGTCCCTGGCCACCCACCCTCATCATCTCACAGGCGTGAGCAGAACAGCACCAAACACTCCACCTTCCTCTAACCAGAGCTGGTGACAGGCAGCTGCCCAGGATTTTAGGCAATAAAAGTAACAAACTGTCGGTGTTCTAAGGATCAAGTGCTCAGAGGAAGGATGATGAGCCTGTACAATGGTGTGTTTGCACTTCACACCAGCTGCTGTCCTGTACAAATGTGTCTGGCCAGATCTGCTCCCCACTGCCCTGAGTCCTACCTGTGGCCCCATCCTGCTCCAGAGCCAGTGGCACAGGATGGAGCTGTGGCAGAACCGCTCTCAACACCTGCAATGCCACAGGACCAAAAAGGAGGGGCAGAAAGCCAGAGAAGACTATAAAGGAGACATTTTAGCCATTGATAAAAATAACAAAGCTCATGCATCCTTTTCTTGCTCTCACATCCCTGCTCTTTCCGTCAATCCTGTACCTGCCCCCAACAGATTTCCCTCTCAGACTGGAGGCACTGACATGTCCACACAGTCTGTCAGCTCTCAGCAACCTGCTCAGCCAGTTCTCCATGAGCTCGGTTTTCATCCTTGGTGTTTTTAAATGATCTATTTCAAGAAACTTCCCTGCTTTCACTGGCAGTCCGGGCACACCCACACCAGGCACCTGAAAACCCAGCCAAGACAGGGCAAGGCTGGTGTGGCTCCTGCCCGATGGTTCTGGCATCCTGCAAGGGGAACACCCTCTGGGAATGGTCTGCTGGTGATGGGAGCTCCAGAAACCTGCCCCACCTGCTCCCTGGGCTCGGGAGCCAGGGCAGGGTACATTCACCAACAGTTACAATGATTGTAAACACGAAGATTGGCTTTAAATACTCCTGGTCAAAAATGACAACATGAGGTGACAAGAATTACAGCATTTTCACACTGATTTTAATTGTATTTTGGCCAGGCCGAAGTTAATTTTTACTTGCTATAACTCCATAATTTAAGTGTCTGACCCTAAAATTATGCTGAACACAAGATTTGTTTGCTCAAGAGCACAGATTTCACATCATCTTAGGAGATCAAAAGCTAGAGGCCAAAATAACTAACTCTTTGGGGACATGGCAATTAAAAATAAACAGAGATAAATATTTATGTGTTTCTTTTCTTTTTAAAACCTATTGTAAGGTCTGTCAGAGAAAAGGGCTGCTCCTGCCTCATTTCGGTGCTTCCAGTTCCTTCACAAGCCCTGGATCTGTTGGCACCTCACCTGGGCTCCAGTCCTGCTCCTGAGCTCCCACAACTGACCAAAGACTACAAGTGTTTAAGAATTAAACCCTTTTGGTAGGAGCCAGGCTTCCTCACACACTTTCAAATAATATACGGAGTACAAACAAACCACAGGTTAATTATAAACCTGGTCATAGCAGCTAAGAAAACACTGGAAGGTAAATATCTGCTCAGGTGAGATTATTCTGCCACAGAACCAAGGTCCTACTCCACAAAAGGCCAGCTCACATTAACAGGGGAGTATTCCATGGGGTTGTACCTGCCTATCTCCTCGAGAGCTTCCGCTGCCTGACACTGCAGCTGCTGCTGAAGTAATGATAAGCCTGAGACTTTTTATATACAAAATGTGAGATATGACCCTCCAAGAGTTCAGGAGCTTTGAAGGGACCAGGAATGAAATCCAACCACGGGCAATCTGGATAAAATAAAACGAATTCGCGAAGATTTTCACTAAGGACAAGCTCAACAATTTATGGGGGTTCTTGTCAGTTTACCCTTTGTGACTTTAGGAAATCGAAAGGAATTACGGGGGGGGGGGGGGGGGGGGCGGGGAGAGAAAAGGAAAAAAAAAAAGAAAAAGGGGGACTTTCATTGCTTCAGGGATGTGGACAGCAATAACAAACCGTTGTAGAGTTCAGCAGTTCACAGCAAATATTAGATCAAAATTTATGACTCTCAGGCACAGCGTGGATCAGCTGAGCGTGGTCTTGTTTAGAGATTTATCTGATATAAAGTCAGGAACCTCCTGAACCATATTTCTGATTTCAGTGCAGGTGAGTACTGGAGTTTAGTTTCCTCCTGAAGATACTCTAATTCTCCTTAATGTCCAGACAGGAAGATGCACCCATAGCCGTGGTCTGGGCACCTGCACTCCCCTGAGCCATGCTCTGCTCAGAGCCTGCCCAGGAGCCCTCCTTCCTCATACACTGATGAAGCACAACTGCAGCCTTCCTCAGCACTGAGGATGAGGATGGTAATGTCAGGATTTTGCTCACATTTCTGTTGCAAAATCACCTAGAAGGGAGGGCACAGTGACTCATGTGCTGTCTGCTCTCCTTCCTCTGTGCCCAGCATGTGGGCGGCAAGCACAGGACCAACACTTCCCACCTTTTGTACTGCTGCTTCATCAGTCCTCAGATCTTTCTGCCAGTTTTGCTCGTTTTGTTTTTGCTAAAACTTAAAATTTTAGCAGCAGCTCTCTGGGTCTTGAGAGAATCAGCTCTTATCTTGACATTTTCACCTTCTGCTGGTGAGGTTTTCTGCAAATGTCAGAAGCATCATCACATTCCTAAAGCTCCTACTCTTCAAATCACACCCCATGGACCATTACAGTCCTGCTTTTATCTGAAGTACATTCAACATGTTTGAAGTCTGACAGCACTTCTTGAGGGGCATTACTTCTTTTCAAGATTAAGCACAAGAGAATGTCATGCAAAGGCAGATTCTGTGGCAACTTTACTAAGATATAAAATAATCAGAATTAGAAAGTTACACTGCTGTCCAAGACAAGGCAGAGAGAGAAGCAAGGGCACCAGGAGGTGATGCTTCCTCATTCCTAAAAGAATCTGTTCCTTGGGAGCAGGATTCATGGAGAAGCAGCAACGGTGCTTGGAGAGTGAGCAGAGTTTGGACCGAGCCTGATTTCACTCCAGCTTTTACCCAAAGCCCAGAACAATGCTGGCCTGATGTCCTTTGGCTTGGGCAGTGTCTTCTCCTTTGGGCTGTTCTATGACAAGGAAAGCAAGATGCCAAGTCTGCAGAAGGAAAACAGGAATTGGGATTCCCTCCAGCACCTTGAGGCGCCGCTGAAGCCTGGCTGTGTGAGCCCACCCAGCACATGTTCCTCCCATCAGCTGCGCTCGCAGCTCGCACAAAAACTCTCTGTTTCTTTTGCGTATTTCTCATGGATTCCTCTGGATTCTCAGTAACTGTCTGACCACTGGAAATAAGTCATGTTTCGCCATGAAAGCCTCTATTGTTTTTTTCTTCTATCTTTCAGCATGCTGCATGAAATACCATTCATTGGCTCCAAGAGCACCGAGAGAAACAGCGTCCACCACTAGAAGCACTTGGAAAAGTCAAATCACTTGTTTAGGGACACTCCTGGCAGGATGGCTGCCACGTTTCCATCGGAGTCAACTTCTAATGGTTCCACTGGGAACTGGACAGAGCCATCAGCTCAGCACAGAATAAGCTCCACGTCCGAGCAATATTCATTAGAATACCAAGAAGATTAAATCCCCCACCTACTTCCCTCAAAATCAACTGCTTTGAGAAACTTAGGGCAAAGAGCATGATGCATTTGCAAACAACCACCCCACTCAGGTGCTGGCAGTGCCTCTGGAAGCTGGAAGAGATTCTGAGCATCAACATGTAAACCAGAGCACTGAGTCATGATCAGAGCTTTAATCTAAATTTGTTCCGTTGATGTGGCAGGAGATTTGTTCCACATCAAGCTGTTTATGTTATGATGTGCGAGTAGATTTAGCTCATGTTTCAGTCAGCTAGAAGTCAGAGTATTTCTTAGAAACATGGTCCATTTAATTCTGCTTGTTTTTTTTACTGCTGGAACACTATTAATATGCATACTGCCTTTATTTGGATAGCTTTCCCATAACTCTCCAACTACTTTGTAGTGGGCATTTCTCCAAAACTGTAATACCTCTACAAATATTCACTGTGGTCCCAGCCCAGGGAAGGCCAGAGAGTGCCTGGACTGCAAAACTGTGATAAAGCAAGCATAATGTAGCAAAGCCCATCTCCATGTGTTAATTAGCACTGATGAGAAACAAATTTAACTTTTTTCAAATCTCCTAAGCAAGCGTAAGTGTAATTTGATGAGCTGGACAACGTGTAATTGGAGCATCTGAATCGACCAAAGCCTTCACCAGAACTGGTGACATCCCAGCCCAGTGAGGGAGGGAGCAGGGACCTGTGCACACCCAGGTCTGGAACGAGTGTGTGCCATCAGAACTGGGGTGATGTCATCATAGACCTGATTCCAACAGGAGATCAGCTCACCCCGTGCTAACAAAGGATGCCTTGGCATCCCTGACAGATCATGAGGCTGGGGCTCAGGTGAGCTGTTCCCAGGAGGAGAGGGGCCATCCAGATCCCATCAGCTGCACACCAGCTCTTTATAACATATGACTGTAGAACTATTCATTATACAAATCCACAAATGTGGACAAAGAGCAAGCCCATCACTGGCTCTGGCTGGAGACAGGCTGTGATAACCATCAGACAGGTGCAGTAGCAGGATAACTGGATTAGGAGATCCGTAAATACGGCTTGTTGGGATTGAAGGCTGTTACAATTTTAAAGGAGAAAGGAAACAATGCCTTAAGGGCATCTGCAGTGCCGTGAGAGGAGGGAGAAGCTGCTAAAGCCGAACACATTCCAAAATACTGGTCAGGCAGAGTCTAAATCATTATCTCCTTGCAGGCACGCACTGAGAAGGATTTCTCCTCTCGTCCATGTCCCTCTCCCACCAGGAAGGTGGGGCACGTGAAGTTGCCTACTGTAGTGGAACCATCATCAACAACAGGACAATGATCCACCAACATATTCCTGCCAGGAATTATTTGCAGACAAAAACGATCCATCAGGTACAGCCCAGAAAAATTGCATTAACATGCAACAAACATTGCAAGGCCAAAAAGACGTGGAACCAAGAGGCAGAAAAACTCTAATTGCATGAAGGTTGTTTAATTATTTTTAAGGTTACGAGAGAAGCCCTGACAGAATACAGGCTGAATATAGCAGACTTTGCAGGAATTTCTATCAATCCTATCACGATTCCGCCCTCCTACTGGAGCAGTACAGCCATGAATGCTGACCAGCATCAACCAGCTGATTAAGACACAAATCTCAATATTACTAATAAAACAGCAAGTGTCAGAAATAATAGCCACTATGAGCATGTACAGTTTCAGCTGCAAAATGGAGAAAAAAGAACTTTTATGGTGTCTTGCCAATAAATTCATCTCTGGGGAACTATCAAAACAGAGGATGCCTTTCTCTAAAGCAATCACTGATGGCCTACCAGCACAGAAAATATCCAGCTCTGCATGACAATGACAGTGGTGCGTGAGCCAGGCAGCAGATCCTCAGCCAAGGCTGTGTGGGACAGGTCTGTGTGTCTGACAGGCTGCAAGGAGGAGACAAATTCCAGGGCAACCAAAGAAGGCACAAAAGAGAAAGGTATAGAAAAATCAGAGAATATTAAAGAGGAGAGATTGGATTTAAAAACAGCAGGACAAAGAAGGGAAAAGAGGCGAGACTTTTATAAAAGTATCCAAACTTTGAACCTCTGCAAAGGTCACAGGCAGAAATTCCTGACCTAAACAGATTTAGACATTATCGATTAGATCCATATCCAGGTAAAACAAGATTTCAGAAGAGCAAAGGCCATTGCTGGCCTTCATTCCATGCAAAGTCAGTGCTACATGCAAGTGCTATGCAAACCCTTCACTCTGATCCCAGAAGGAAAACCAGAAAAACCTGGCACAGAGCTGGTCCCTTCACTCCTTTCGGAGGAATAAGGGAGGAAGAGGAAACCTCCTTTTGCAGTGGGAGGCAGTAGGATTTTGGAAGCTGTTAAAGACTGCAAGAAGGAAAGCCAAAGATCCATGATCTCATGATCCATACCGAAAAGGCAGCAGTGAAAAAGATGTGGAAAGGGCAGCTCAGGAGAGGGACACACTGTTGCTCCTCCCGCAAGCAGGAAGAACCGGGAAGCACAAGTCAAGTGCAACTGCTCTTCCTACAATCCCTCAGACAGCAGAGCAGCCAGGACTTGGCTCTGACAAGTCAGTGATTTACAACCTAAAATCAGAGTCCTAATAGAAAAATAACATCCTGTCAGTGTAAGTGATGGTGCTTGCAGAGACCTGCCAGCCTCCTGGAGCAGCTGCTCACCACAACCTGCCAAGAAGTGGGAATGACCAGCAGAAAATGGGCTGTTCTGCCAGGAGGGATGGGGGATTTCACTGGTTTACCATTCCTGGATATCCCCCTGAGCAGGGAGCTCAGACAACCACCAGTGCTCTCCAGGTCAGCAGCACCTGGTACTCTGATGGAAGAAACACAGTTTTCTGCTAAAAACTAGAATATTGGTGAAAAATTAGGTGAATGCTGTGAGCACAAGAGGAGAAGGAGGCACAGGTCCAACTGATTAAACACTGAGATCAAAATTTAGCTTTTAAAAGAGGCCCAGACAAGACCTTAGCCATGTACCAAAATGCCTGGAAATTAGTATCTCCCTGTACTAGAGAAAATTGCTTTGCAAACAGAAAAAGCATTTCTGAAAGAAACCTCTTTTGGCCTGATCTCCTCCATTCCCTTACCATGGGAGCACACAGGAGGGATGGCTGAGGAGCAGCTCTGACCCTGCAGCACCATCCCAGGTTTGCTCAGTTCCTGGGAAAATTAACACAAGCCAACCGTGGTTTGAAAGGATCCAGGCATGTGGATTAACAGCAGCAACAGGCCCCCAAAGAAACAGTTCAAACAACCAAATTCCAAATATTTGTAAGTAGTCAAGAATTTGCAAGCCTCTCATGGGCTGAAATTCCCTCATATGCAAAGCTTCTGTGCAAATAACAAAACAAACCCCCAAAATTCCGCAGAGATGACCCAGGTTAATCCCACCCTATAAATCCTTCCCTGAAAGCCGTACACAAACCCCGGGCTGGTCACAGCACAAAGCAAAGCCCAACATTACCACCTGGTGGAAATCCTCTTCTGCTACAGCCACAAGCAGAAAAACCACTAAATTGATTCAGTTTTAGGCAGTGGCAGAGTGTTACACCAGCCTCGAGCTCAGTCCTGCACACCGAGGGACCACCAGCAGCTGTGGGTTTAAAACCCACAAGTTTGGCAGCACAGTAAAATTAGTTTCTCTGGGAGAAAGGCAATGAGCCCACATGCAGAGCAGTCTCCACATGCCCACACTGTTTCCCTTGATTTCATCTAGAGATGCCAGAGAAGATGCCCAAGAAGGAATTTTTCTTTTTTTTAGTAAGATAAGACAAAATTTACAGACTGATAAATTGTGACAGCCACAGAAGACTCAGTGTTGTCCTAAACACCAACATCAAACGCAGCCATTTAGGAGCCCAGGTGTCAGCAATAGGGATTTTGGACTCTTTGAAGCAATAATTTAATATCCACATCTTTTGTTATTGCCAAATTGTTTGAACCCCCTGTTGCAGAGAGCCCCAGTTCCCAGGCAGACGTTGTTGAGCCTGCATTGCTGAACAGCAGAGCACAGCCCAAAGAGGAAAAACAGGGAGGAAAGAGTGACTGCTGAGGCTGAGAAAAACAGCACAAACAATCCAGCTGTAGCCAAAAAAAAAAAAAAAAAAAAAAGAGGTCATATGTCCCTCAACTTTATAGCAGCCCAGACACAGAACCCTGTTCGGGCAATCTCCAGCCTGCTGAACAGTGACCACGGGGCTCTCTGCTGGACCCCATCAGCATTTGGGAGCTGGTGGATGGCTGCCAGGCTAAAGGCACCAGGAAAGCAGAGAAGGGGGATGGGAGAATGCAGAGCCAGAGAGGCAAAAAGTGAGAAACAGGAATGAGATGCAAATAGAGACAAAATCAAGGAGTGTGAGTTCCGAAAAGAAAGAGGTGGGACAAAAAGGGAAAAGGAAATTTAAATGGTGGGAAAGTAGAGTAATATTTGTAAGAAAAGGCAGAGAAATATAACTGGAAGGTAAATTGGAAAACTGAGGAAAGGGACTGACCAGGAAGACCAATGTGTGCAGGTGAGCAAGGTGACCTCATACATCCCTGCTGAATCAGCCCTTCCCCTGGGCTCCATCCTGCTCCACTCATTTAGGAAGGCAGAGTCCATATGTACCTCTTCAGCACAACCCCCCTTCTCTCTGACTGGAGACCCAGAACCTCACCCCATCTCCCTGCAGACACCCACACCTGCCCACACTCACCCTCACTGACGGGCTTCCTCAGCTCTGCTCAAATCCACTGCGAGCCTGGGGCCAGTGGCAGCTCAGCCTCAGCCTCTCTGCCCCAACCCACCCTCCAAGCCAAGTGAAAAAACCAAACCACAAGCTATAACACCACCACCCCCCCCAAATTTCCCAGCACCTGGAAGGGTGGTACGAGTAAGTCTTACTTGGAAGGAAGATAATATTAAAATCCCAGCAGCACAGCCTGTTACCGTTGTGCAATGGAGAAATCCCAGAGCTGAAGCAGGGACCTGTCCTACCAGAGCCTGCCCTGTGTGATTTTAATGGGAGTGAGGGAAGTGCCCTGGCTTTTATCAGTGGCTGAGCAGGAGGCAACAAGCTCAAGCTCAGGAATGAACTTTATCTGGTGGCACCAGTTCCCAAGGAGTACCTGCAAAAGAGGAAGGATCTCACTTAATGGCATTGTGGTTTGAGGCTCCATGTGTGTTACTGCAAATACCTTGCTTTAGGGAAAGGAGAGGGGAAGAGGGTCCATTCAATCTAGTCCACTGCTTCTGTTTCTTCAGGAGAGTCCAGTGGAACACAGACAGCACAGTGTGAGTCTGAGGGGAAGCAGAAAACAGGAGGGAGTGGAAGGGACTGGACACAGACGGTGGAGAAAGGAAAACAACGATAAAAAGCCAAATGAGGATAGAGGAGATGGAGCATTTCTGTGCATAACTGTGGCTCAGGGCAGACTGAGCACTGAGGGTGCATCACTGGCACTGAGGAAAGGCCACGAGAGTATCTGAACTGCAACAAGCGCAGCAACATCCCCCCAGGATTCTGCACGACAACCCAGGGAGCAAAGGCTGTGTGAGGATGCAGAGCCTCCCAGGGCAGGACTAAGCAGAGCCCAGAGCTAGAGAATGATCACAACCAAGTCCCTGCTCTCCAAAGAGCTGGCCTGGGGGTGCAGCTACCATTCCCCAGGGACTCAGAAGGCATGGGAGCATCAGTAGCAAAGTACAATTCCCATTTTGATATGGGAAGGTACAAGGCAAGGAGAGAAGTGCCACTGATCCACTGTTATCAGTATTTATATTATGCCAGTAGCTTATGAGCAATAAAAATATCCAAGGACAATTTTATAGGCCAGGTTCACTGCCCACTTGAGACACAGCCACAACAATAGTTTGCTGCACTGTCTTGCACAGAAAGGACCTGAGGTCTTCCAAGTCCAGAGTTCTTGGAGAGAATCTCGGAGAGATTGTCTCTTGGCCGGAGACAAATGCATTGCTGGGAGACCTGGAAGAGATGTACAAATGGTTGAAAAATATATCTAAAATGGTAGAAGTGATGTTTAATTGTTTCCACATACCATTTAGCAGTGAGTAGTAAAAAAATTAAATAAAGCATGACGAGGCCTTGCCAAGGATGAATGAAAAACGAATGGAGACCTGAAAAAATCCAGGAGTAAGAAATTAGCAATTTCCTGGAACTTGCCATTGTGACCACGTTGCACACAGCAGCCACACTCAGTGCAAAGCTCAGTCCCATGAACTGGAAGCAAAAGTTCCCCCCACAGCAGGGAGCAGAATTGTCAGAGAGTGCTGGGAGCAGAGTTCCAAGGAGCTGCGAGCATCGCTTTACACCAGGGAATGCAACCAGAGCTCAGGGCACTAGTTTACCCCCCTCAGGGACCCCTCTCACAGAAGGGAGGCTGACCCAAAGTCCTGGTGTGAAGGAGGCATTTACCCCTTTGGAGCAGCGTCCTGCCCGTAACCCAAGGCCGTGGCACAGCTGTCCCTTCAGCGAGGGAAGGGATCCCCACACATTTGCTGTCACCGATATCAAGGAATTTGGTGCCAGGTCTGCACCGAGAGATCCCGTGACACAGGACTGATGACACACTGGTGGCACTGTGGCTTCACACGCCTTTAACCTCAGGCACCCACAGCCATTCAACAGGTACACGTGGTATTAGAGGTGCTGGTAACATCCCCAAATCACAAAACAACTAACAAAGGCAAAGTTCCTGTGACTTCCAAGAAAAAGACACTGTGCACAGCCCCAGAACAGGCAGCA